GGATGTTTGCTTTCTGTTGGAACGCAGTGTAGAACAATGGAAAGTTATGTTAAGGAGCACTGTCATTGTTGTGAAGTAAAATGATGTAGAATTATTCCTCAGGCCAATAATTATTCTTTTCGCTTTTAATTGTTGGCTATAAGCTGTTTTGTAAAGTCAAAAATGGTCTATCTAATCGCGGGTAATTATTTAAAAGAAAGAAAATTAATTTGATACACAAATCGTGCCGTTCTATGTATTAATGTGGCTGTTTTTTAGTTGGAAGCGTCATTTATTACCTACATTTGTTTAATTAACAACGAAACGCTACACATGAATGTGTGTAAATGAAATATTGATCAGTGTTCAACGTTTCCAATTGGTCGTATAAAAATAAATAGAGTTATAAAATGTCGCATCAAAATAAAGTAGCGATGGCGTCGCTATGTAACAAGAATGTCTAATAAAACATCCATTAGTGTTCGGTATTTGTAACAATTGTTCCGTAACTGAGTATCGTCGGGATTCTCTTGTTCCACGACTGTTAAGTGTCGCTCGTGACAACTGTCGACACCTTGCAACCGGTTGTATCGTTGTGATAAAAACTTTTCTTTTTGTCCACCTGAGAGTGCGATGTGCACCCCTGTGCGCGTGTTTCTGAAGTCTTAGTACGAGTTTTTTTACCGGCTTCAATAAACCAACCAATCAGAGCGCCGAATGCGTACTTGTTTCGATTACTGTTTACGTAAAACAAAATCGTACTAAGTCGTCTGTTTAAGGTAGATAGATGTCGCGGAGAACCTAACGGGTACCCGGGGCTCCAGCTCGACGTGCAGGACGGGGTGGTTTTTAGTCAGAGTCTGACACTCCCTCCCGCCTCACCCAGGCGGGAGCAGTCATTCAATGATTTTCCCCCCTTAAAAAAAAGGTAGATAGATAGGTAGGTAGTTAGTTATAACTGTCATTGTTAGGAAATATATATATATATTTATTTATTAAAGGAACTTTTAACATAGTCTTTCACCAATTCCATCGAAACCTTATCTAACAAATACACAATTACAGGATAACTAATGAATAAACCAATATAGGTAGCTTCAGGTGACATTGGTTGACCCAAGAGAACCATTATATTATAAGGACCGATTTTTCAAACGCCAGATAAATTTTAACCGTATATCTTTCAATCTTCGAACATTTCATCGGCTTAATTTGTTAACCTGCTAAATCCGTTTTGACTTAGTTTACAGTAGGAAGAAAAAACTGAATAAAATCTATATTGTTTTATTTATCAAAATTCTGAAAGTCCCGTTGGTTTCTTATATTTTTTCTTGATATTTTAACAATATATTTAGCAGTATAACTTATACACAGTTTATAAAAAAAAGGAAAACAAATATTTTGCTGTCGTACCACAGCTTGTTTATTTCTTAATTTTTTTTTAGGAAGAATATAGATTTTTTAAATGCTATTATCAAATAGCTACTGTAACAATATCACCAGGCTTGATGTTATGATGTATATACATCATAACATCACGCCTGTTATCCCCGAAGGGGTAGGCAGAGGTGCACATTATACCACTGTACAATGTAACACCCACCCAGGGAGAAAATTGGGCCCAATAAAAATAATAACGTTTTTAAATAGACACCCTTTTATAAGTATTTACTTTAGGTTGTTTTGCGAGATGCAGTTCACAAAAAAATACAGCAGGTTTGCATGCAATTGAGCTTTAAATTCATATAAAATTAGTTTTTACCATTGAATGAATGTTATTCTATTATTAACAACGAATAAATATTTTATTATATTCAATGAATAACTGCTAATCTTAAAATATTACCTTCTATTCGAGTCACGATTGCCATGACAAAAAATAAAAAAATAAACGTTAATTTTTATGTTGAGCGTAATAAACTCGGCGAGTATGATTCTTGGCTGAATAAATAGTCCCCTTTGCCATGTGGGTGTGACAAATATCATGTTTTACAATACATTAACTTGTACAAGTGTGCGTGTCATACACTTGGGGAGCAAATCGGATAAATTCTGATTTTTATAGGCGGTCATCGACACTTGATTGTGTTTAATGAAAATGTATGGAGACTGTTTTGGAGTACCAATTGGACATTAACGTTAATATGGCGTTAAACATAGGCGTAGGTCATCTACATAATTAATTTAGTGATAAGATGCAAACCTAGAGCATCAAATCAAAATATACATTTGAAAAGCTCATTTGAATTGCCAATTGCAAATAGTAAGTGCTTATTTTAATCTAGGTACCTAAAGACTGTAAACATAAACTATTTTGTACCAATCTACAAAACCAATCAAGAACTATGGTCCAGAAAAAGGAGAACATTTTATAGGCTCAATAAATTTCCCATTCACAAGTTTTCGCAATGAATTCCGTGGATCATAAAGTCGCGGGTACACAGCGCTTTGCTGCCGCGTGAACGCGCGAGCACAATCGCGCGACAACAATACAGGGCGATGTTATTTCGTCATTTTCCAAACCACTACGCTATTGAACTTTGGGCTTTATACTCGCATTGTCCTATAAGACTAAATCGAACTCCCTTTGTTGCGGTGTAATAGTTTTATGTTTGTTTTACCAGTTTTGTGGGGCGTTTTTTCAAATAGATTGATTATTGAAGCAATTTTGTGTTTAGTTTTTTAAAGAAGCAGAAGAATTGTTGCTTAAATTGAATTAGTTTTACGTTTTACACCTTGAAATTAAATATAGGTAGGTGACAAAGGAATGTTTATAATGGAACTACGACACTTGTTAAAGCTCATGGGGATGTGGATGAAACTAAAAGAATTTTACTTGACCAATGATTGGTTATATGTTTGTCCAACCTTGGCAGTGCGTACCACATGCATGGCAGATAAGATCTAACAGAACAATAATATGGCCACACGCAACAGATGTAATAATTGATAACACTAGTACGGACTAGTGACTGTGACTATGTACTGCATTGTAATTGAATGAGCATGCTTTACGTCCATTTGCTTTATCTGTTTACAAATAATTGTTGGTTATGTAACATACAACGATTTTACAATACATTTATATGGTGCACTTGCAGTTTTGATTGCTGTCATGTAACCGCCTACTTTTATAGCTGGCGAATGGTGTTAGAGTGTCTGTTATCTGCCTACAGACCACCTAATTGTATTGCTACTATCATAAGTATCATACCTACTTAGAATTTTTTTAATTACTATAATAGCAACTCAATTCCAAGTAGGTATTTAGATTGTACATTTTATACAAAGTCACCCCTTCAACCATTAAAGGGTACAAATGTTAATTACATTTGAAAAAATATGCCAAATAAATGAACCTAATAGCAGCAAAAACTCGCGTAACAAACAACTCATCCCTCTGTTCAAATGTAACAAAATGCACAATTGTGTTCAAGCGTACCGAATCACCCTTCTCTTGCTAACATTAGCACAGATTACGGGCCCCCAATGTTATTCTTAACTTAATAAGTTCTTACTTATCACCCTATACATTGCGCAGTACCTTCCACTCTTTGTATGTTTGTTAAAGCATTAGCAGCATTGTAAAGCTTGCAATCGTAATGCCCGCTACGTGTGAATGATATTGCGAAATAATTCGAAGCTTTGTTCACTACTGCATAAAATTGAATTTCGTTCAATAAAAGTATTTTGTGTGTAAAGGTTTGGCTGTTAATTAAAACCTCACACGGATTACCAATGTAATCCAATGGTTTGAGTGTCTTTTCTCGTTTTATGATTAACAATACACATTGGAGAGGGAATAAGTTTTATTTAAATGTTGATTGTTTGATTGATTGAAATAAACATTTACGCAGAACTCCTTAGAACTGGCTGAGTTAACTACTTTTAGTTGTGAAAATAAAATAGAGTACTTTAGTAAAGAAATAATTGGATATTTCAGTATAAAGCTACTAAGCACGCGTCGTAAACTTATCCTCAAGGTAAAGCAAATAAGAATTAGTTCCGTGCACAATCAGTATCGTGGCTACAATCAGGGTAGTTACGTGCCGTCTTAGAATCGAGTTCGTCGCGTGCCGTGATATCGCGCGCTCAATCGCGCGTCTAACCGCGCACTCGCACGACATTGCGACAAATCACTGGAATTACGAACTAGCCCTCATTAGCAGCTATATTTTTGAGTGAAACAACGAAACGAGGACAAACTGCTAGCTGGTTGTCGTGCGTTCTTTACATCAAATACATACTGGTGGGCGGGTTATAAATAATGTGACTACACATGATAAATGAACCGCGAGGACCGAAGAGGTTAATTGAAAAAGAATGGCAGTGGTCTACTTCGTCTGTTTGCGTTGATAATCACTTTGAATTATTACCATTAATACTAATCTTAAACTATAGTTTTTAATAACTCTAGCAACATCATTACGTAAGTACCATATTAGTACTTGTAATGAAGTAAATAGTATACTCTTAGGGCCCTTTTCACCAAGCTCTGTAAAAACTCAGTTACACGTAACCTAAGTTTAAAGTAACCTAAGTTTAAAGACTCGTGTGGATCTGGGTAATCTGAGTTTACGTCAAACCGATTTCTCCGACACCATCCCACCAAAACTAGTTTACAACGAGAGAGTTACGAGAGCGTTTGGTTTCTACAACATGCATCAGGGAATTAAGCGACCTGCTGCGGTTTGCGTATATAAACAGTCATTTGCTGATGTAAAAAAAAAAAATAATGTATTAAAATATTATTTTAAATTAAGATTATATTATATCTTATTATTTTAAATTAATATTATTAAAATATATACATATATTTTTACTTGTAACAACGGGACGAATTTTGATACATTCACACTTCAGTGTTACAAGCTCAGAATGAAATCGCATATGAAACGGGGAACATAATACAAACATGATTTGAAAAAAAAAACATTATCCAATATAAAGCAATTGTTATATAGTATACTACTTAATTCCTATAATAAGCACGTCTTATTTAAAAAAGCAATGAATAATGCATTTAAATAATGAAAAATTAATATTTTTGTTCTAACTTTTATTCATACAATGGCAACTTTGTTTTTATTCCCCGATGTAGAAAATTTCAAATCATTCGTAAACTTTGTGTTTGACGAGTGCCCATCTTTCTTTTTCTGTGTGATTTCTGTGACCCTGCTTTTCTTTTTCGGACTATTGTGTGATAACTTTTACGACGACCTTTGCCTACTATACTACGCCATGTCTAACAGAACCGAAAATTTGAAGCGGAAGAGAGATCCAACCTTTGTCGCAAGTGAAAAAATGGCGTTAGTGGATCTGGTGGAGAAACACTTTGCTATTGTAGAGTGTAAAAAAACCGATGCCACAACAATACGCAGCAAAAATCAGGAGTGGCAAAAAATTGCAGAAGAATTTAATTCTGTTTCGTCAGTCCATCCAAGAGAATGGATTGTTTTGAAAAACTGCTGGGAAAACTTAAAGAAGAGAGCCAAAAGTGAGCAGACAGCACGTAACCAACATTATTTGGGAACAGGTAAAAAAGTCATTGAATAATATTAATCTGAAAATGTTTGATGTAACCCAATAATAAAAACCGAAAATATTTGCTATAGTTTCAAGTTTGTTGTAAGTTGCTGTTACTTAACTTCACATTCTTTTTCATATTTAAGGAGGAGGTCCACCCAGGAAATTGACTGTAGATCCAGCAATCGATCGAGTTCTAGATCTTATCCAGACTAGAGTGTCTGGATTTGTTAATGTGTATGACTCCGATGGCACTCATATTTTAGGTAAGATTTTTCACAAGTCTCGAACGTTTTATTATCTTTATATTATTGTATATAGTTACTACTTGTTAGACCTTACACACTTTGAATTGGTTATACCAACTTTGATATCATCATCATGGACTCGTGCACATACACATCAACTTTGCTGATGATCATTGCGTTACATGATGCAATGCATAATTTCTGGTTCTTTAAAAGACACACAGACAAACCTTCATTATTATTTACATATACATAGAATATGTAGGTTTGTCACCGAACTCTGACAAAGTCTGCGGAGACTGCCAGTAAATATGTAAATTGTTATTAAACTCATAAATAAGTTTAGCCTAGTCTTTTTGCTGTATTCAATTTGCATCATAACAAAATATATAAACAAGACTTTATTTTTCAGCATCCGGTAACAATCCAAGCACATCAGTGGCCGACCAGGCACCTCAAAATGATATATTATTATATTCAAATGGTAAGTATTAATTTGTTATTTCTTACGTAATGCAGATTTTAAATCAATTATATACATTGATTTAATTTGGTACCATGCATGTATTATATTGAAATTTAGATAATAGTAGAGTAATTTAAACAAATATGTTTAACAATTGTCTATTACTCTAACTATAAGCTCTGCTTAGTTTGGGTATAGACAGCATTGTGTGAAAGTTAAGGAATATTATCATTATTATTTTCATGAGCAGTCCGCTGCTCATGAAAATTTATCAATACCTAACATACTAAAAAAACATCTTAAGTGGGGCTTTCATAAAATAAAGAATAGTATTGTACCTTGCATTAGACTCATTTGCACTTGAGCAGATGAGATTCTTTGTATCATTGTTTAGAGAGGAAAATAAAATATTCTAAAGTTCATAGTTTTTATGATAATGACACAAAAATTAATGAAAGATGTGTATGTACATACATAGAGGTACATAACATTACATGTGATAATCTAAAGTGATATTCACTATTTTTATTAAATAATTTGTTATAGATGCCAGTGCTACTCCTGTACTTGATGTACAGGACTCCACGGAGGCCGCTGTAGTTACTGAGACAGCTGCTGCTACATTTGAAGTTGTAAGTATTGTGAACTAAATTTGAAAACAATCCACTATACCGGTATTTACTCTTACGTATAAGGTCTGCACCTTACCATGGTGGACAGATCATATTAATACCATCATCATGGTATTTAAGTCCCCTCTTTGAAGACTGGCAAAACGTAACATATGTTCCTTACCTGCATGACGCAGGTCCTCTCTGAACATAGTCGTTTCAGGATTTTCTTACCTCTGAATCAAGCAGAAGTAACTGAAGAGCTTAGGCAGTTAAAAGGACCTTATAAAAAAAGGTGGTTAATGGACATCACAATTTTATTTTTTAAGACTCTTCCACTATTCTATGCTTACAACAGATGATGTCCAAAATTAAAAACATACCTATTATATGTTTTTTTATAAAATTGTATTTTATGCAGGACTGGTCTCAGTACACTCCAGCAATGTTGAGAGCACCAGTTACCACAGCACTTGTTGCCTCAAGGAGTCCATCACCTGAGGCAACTGGCAGTAGAGTGGAACCTCCACCACACAAAAGAACAACTATCACTCCACCTAGGTTAGTAATATTATAAACTGTTCATTATCTCTTTGCATAAAAAATATTATAATTAAAATTCAAGTAAGGAAGTAAACTGTTTCAATAGAAATCACTACAATATTAAACTATTAGCTGTTGTTATAAGTATTTTTTTTTTATATTTATTTAATAAAATTATTGTTTAATTGTTGCAGAGTTATATCCACTGAACGTCCTATAGCGACGGCAAGTCGCAGAAGGCCAATTTTAAGGCGTGAAAGCCTTAACGCGCAACGCATCAACACATTACTAAATTGTAATAAAAATGCTGATGAAGAACATGCCGCAAATATGGCAATTTTGCGGCTTCAAGAGCAGAGGGAGGAAGAAATGCTGGTTCAAGAAAAATTAAAAACGGAACAAGAAAAAATAAAACTAGAAATTTTGAAAATACAATTAAAAAAATTACAAGATTATTTATAAGTAGTTTTTATTTCCTTTCAAACAAAATTCACAAATTCATTACAGAATACCTTTTTTCTTATTATTCCAGAGCAATTTAATTTAATTCAAAGCAACTTTAAAATTAACAACACCTAATTTATTGTTACAGATGACTATCTTTTTCAAGTTTCAAAATCAAATCATTTATCTATTTCAATAGTCCATAAACAAGCACTTTTGCAATGTCTAAATTGAAATTGAGCATCAGTGAAGCTAGGTGCTCTTTTCAAAATGTAAATTTATGAAAATAGTGCACTGGATGTTTATGTAAAAACATATGGTTGATTTTAACATAATATTACTTGCATTGTATTATGCAGACTGACAATCTGAAATAAGATTTCAATTAATTTATTCTTGGAATTTGAACAGCTACTGACTGAGTAATGTCCAATGGTGCTGGGCCAAATATTTATCTTGTTAGTCTGAAAAGATAAACATATAATTATTTATTTATCCATAAAAGGTAGGTACAATATAAAAAAAAAATGTTAGTTTCAGTAAAATAAATAGTGAGTAAGTATAAACAAAAAGTAGTTAGAAAGTAAAATTAAAATCCTGTTTGCATGTTTGTTTTAATTTGGGCTGGCAGGCAAAGTATAACTGGGTTTATTAAAAATTCTCAGTAGTAGCACGGAGTTTGGAATTGTGCCCAGTATATGGCAATAGGCTCACCCCATTATATGGGAGTGCTAACATAAATAGTGAAAAGACCTACTTTTCACTATTTATGTTTCATTGTACAGTGGCATTAAGTGCCGTGATGTGCACCTCTGCCTACCGCTTCAGGGATAAAAAGCGTAATGATATAGTAATGATTACATACAACTGTCAACTCACCGTCCAAAGTAGTTTGTGATAAGTTCATTACGTCTTCTATAATTTGGATTTGTCCTGTATGATTGTCCTATATTAATATTTTCACTGCTAATATCACCCTGAGTTATTAATGCATCCCAAGAATCTGGATTTATAATTTGGTTGTCATTAGGAGGTATGACTTCACCACTTCTTCTTGCAATATTGTGTAGTACAGCAGTAGCAATGATGATTGGGAAGCTATTCTGCACAGAAACTCCCAACCCCATAGCCATGGCTGGGAAACGTCTTTTCCATAATCCAAATACTCTTTCTATACAATTCCTCGTTCTAATATGAGACTCATTATATAAGTCTTCTGGACCATTACTGCATTGTTCTAATGGAGTCATCATGTAACTGTTACACGCATAACCTGCGTCTCCTACAAGAACAGCATTTCCATAGTGTCCCTGATCAAACAATGCCCGTCTATAGCAGTTGTTGAAGATATATGAGTCATGTGTGCTTCCTGGCCAACGAGAGACCACATCTGTAAATTCCAATTTTGCATTGCAGATGGCTTGAACGTTTAAAGAAAAGTAGTTTTTCCGGTTACGGAATATCTCTGGATTTTCGCCACCTAAAAATATATTTATTATGCATACATTGCAAGTATAAATTACATAAATATGTGTTAGTTTAATATACATTTATAACATCTTACCTGGTGACTTGATAAACTTTACATGTGTGCAATCTATAGCACCAATAACATATGGGAATTTAGCTCTTTTGGAAAATTCAATTTGTGTTTTGCGTATTTCATCTGGTAATTCAGGAAAGTAAATATGGCGCGGTCGGAGTGAGGCAATAGCAGCACTGACTCTGTGTACAATTCTATGGGCAGTAGATGTACTAAATCCACATAAATCAGCAGCTGTCATTTGATAGCATCCAGTCGCATAGAAACGCAGAGCGCATAGTAACTGATTGATGGGAGACACACTACTATTTCTGAAACAAGTAAATTAGCCATATAAGAACTTATTGCTTGTAAAATATGTAAATAGTAGGTAGGGAACTAGATTCGTTAAACTATGTAGGTTTCTAATATTGAAATGAAAAATCATACTTACATATTTGTAGGAAATTCTAATTTATCTTCAATAGACTCCAATACACATAGAACTGTTGGTTTTGTGAGACGAAATCTTGTTGTAAAATCTTTATCATCAAGAGTGTCGAAATGTTCTTCTCTCACTCGAATCCACCTCGGACGACGAACTAGCGTAAATTTCTAGTCATATCTTTCGTCAAAAGCAAGCACTAAAGCCCTTTTCATCTTATTTTTAACGTAATACCAAGTAATTGAAATAATAATGTTTGTAATTTTATTATGACACAACAACAAGTGACACTAGTGACAGTGGCTAAACTGGCTTAGCGAGGCTAAACGCCGAGAGCACTGTCAAAAACTGAGTTCCGTGTAAACTAGTTTCTGTTTGTAGCGGTGAAATGTAAAATGAAGCTGTAACTTCGTTTAAACGCTTTAAATTCGATTAGACGCTTTAAATCAGTTTTGTTAGGTGTAATCGTGATCAGTTTCGTTGGTGAAAAGGGGCCTTAAAGAGTTTATTAAGGAAATCCTCTCAGTGCAATAAAATTTATAAGAAGCTTTAAAAGACCTCAGAAGTCGCCGACTAACCGATGCGTATATTGACTGATTAACGTGGCAGCGGCATGCGGTACAGCGGCAATAAACGGAACAACAACACATTGTGCACCTCCCACTGTACACAAAACGACTTTTTCAACGTCCTACTCAAATATTAGGCTGGACACACACCGCCCGAAAGAAAAAACAGATAACGAGTTGCACTGCTACCGGTCAAAGCAGCCGCCCGTGCCGCCGACCAAGTAGGGGCGGAGCGCGTCACGCATAAAACAAACTGAGGCGACGCGCGCGACCGAGACAGCGCGATGCCATCTCCACGCGCCAACTGAGACAACAACAGCCCGGTGCACACACACCTAATTTAAAACTCGAAAATAAATTGATGTTGAGTTCAAAACAAACAGATATGGCTGACAAAAAAGGACGGCCGCATACGAAATCTTCATTAGCGAGCGAGCTAGAACAAGGGCGCCGGCGAACGATCCTAATTTAAAAATATCGAAAGCAATCGCGACCGTGATTCGACATTAATACGGGTTTTGATAAATTCTCATTTCTTACTCATTCACCGGTGATGATTTTTCAGAAAAGGAAAACAAAACAGTATGACGGTGCTCAATCGCGATAGTAATGAATGAGCTGTGGTTATTAGCAAATTGAGGCCGTTAAAATGAAATTATCTCTCAGTAGCTTCGTTTCCAACGTAATTAATGGCGTAATAAATCTGTGGAAACCTAGTGAAGGATTAAATGAGCTTGTATAGTGAAGCTAAATCGATGAACTTGTATTTTTGTAATAGTCATTTGTAGAGACAACGACAGTAAACGTAATTCTAATCATTAACTTAATAGGAACAGCAGCTTTGTTTCGGTCAAATTGACAAATATTTAACCAGTCTTGGTGTTGAACCATATTATCACGAAAAAAGCACGTCAATATCCGAACAAAATTCAAGAGTCTGGATTTTATAGGCGTTTTTGCGTCATACTTGAAATGCGGAAAAAATTGCAGATAACTTTTTCCCGCCCTTTTTTGCCGTGGGTTGGCGCCAATATTTTGACAGACACGCAACGAGCCAACACTAAACAGACGCCGATGTTGCCATCATCTTATGAAATATTACTAAGTGGTAGTTTTGATAAGCGGCCTTTTTGCCGGCCCGCCTGTGTGCTCTCTCTTGATCTTTATGTAATGGCCATTATTTGATTTATAGAACAATTATTGTGTAACTTGATTTATGGGCAGTAAGTGAGAAGTGTATATTAGTACAGTTACTTACATACAGCATGTAATATGGCGGTGCAATGGTACTTAAAATCAAATTAGGTGCATCTTGAATTGGAAGGTCGTATATCGTCATTCCACAACACATGCACACAATAAGTCTGCACTAATACATAAGAAATATAGTTTACACGGACATGACATAACATAACATCACGCCTTTTATCCCCGAAGGGTACAACTTTTCACTCTTTTATGTTTTGAGTCCCATATAATAAGGAGTGAGCCTATTGCCATATTATATCGGGCACAATTCCATACTCCGTGCTACTACTGACAATTTTTAAAAACCCAATAATACTTTGCCCGATCCGGAAATCGAACCCGAGACCCCTTGCCCGGCAGTCGCATTTGCGACTTCTAAGCCAACGAGGCAGTTAACACGGACATAATAAAGCAATATTTAGTTTAGTTTTACAACGAAATTATTGCAGTTAGTTATTGAACCGCCCGTGTATTGTTAGAACTAAAATTTATTGTTTCATAAAAAAATGACGTTGTTAAATATATCACTAGCTTCGTAAAACAAATTAATGCGACCCGTCCAAACACGCCACCCACTGGATTGCACAAAAAGTGCGGAAACAATACATAAGAATGTCAAGTTAAACCGTTTTATTGCACAAGTGTGTTGACTTTTGTAGAAAAACAAAAGCTTTGGACCTTTAGGGGTCACGACCATGACCACACGTACGATATACTTGGAACTCTGGCAGAGTAAGGAGGTTTTTGTTGGTCAACAGATTTAACGAACAGTTTTTTTAAAGGTCCATTTCGCCTGAAACACGGGATATCCTAGTTCAGGCACCATATATTGTGAATTTGATGTAGCTTTAAGCAAAACTGTATATTAATTGGGTTGATGACAAGATATGAAAATTAAAAATCTAATTAGTCCGTAAGTTAGGTAATGAAAAAATATTAGACACGTATTTTTTTATTTTGTCGTTTAAGAAACAAAACTTAGATAAAACGAATTAAAGTTTAGGAGTGGGGGCTAAAACGTCATTTCTACGTATAAAATGTATATAAAAGTGACGTCACGAAACAGTTCAAATCAATATATCGTCGAAAGTATTCGTTTCTGTATTGCAACAGATTCAATTCAATTTTCAATGTAATTCAATTTTCAAATTCAATTGCTAAATCTAAAGCTGTATTGGGAAAATGATGATTTTATGCTATGGTATTTCATTATACTACGAAAGTTCATTCTAATTCGCACCTAAATAACAAATTATAAAATTCAATTTTACAAACACGTCCAGACAAATCAATCGTACCAACATACGCCATACAAAATGAAACAGGCGGTATAAAGCAAAGAGTACATCGATAATAAAGAGCTATTCGTTGCGTTTAATGATGGAACATCTGGTTCTACCGGCAAATTGGTAACCCGACCCCATGACCCATGTGTGGTCGGAGGGGGGGACCGAGATCTTAATATGCACGCTGCCTTATAGTCGGATGGTGAATGGGACGCTCGGATTTTAGTTCCGTGTGAATAGTGTGTATTTGGGGATTTCATTGATAATAATTTGTCTGTGTGGATTCGATGTTGTTGTAGTAGTAGTCTATCGTGTGTTGATCATGATTTTTAGTGAGTTTTAGTTATATTTGAAAGTTTTCACTGAGCTATTGAATCGGACGATGATTATTATTTACTACACGTTTTCTTAGTATTAGAAATGCGTGTTAAAATTGAGAGTGTGTTGGTGGTGAATGAGCTAAGTTTAAGTATTTGATAGCATCAAAAGGATATTTATAGGGATATGCTATAATATTCTCTTAATGATAATAAGAAAAGAGGTTGGTTAACCAACGCAAAAGTCAAAGAAAAACATATTCAGACAAGAAAAATATCCATTACATGCGCATAAAATTAATAACACAATAATGAAACCTATTATCCGTGTCTTTACAAAATAAAACGTAACAACGCAGGCGCATTAGCCGTGTGTGTTGCCAGGTAAGAAAAGTCGAAAGCATCAATTAGAGTATGTGTAATGAACGAACAACTTGGAATAATGAGATATAACTTGATACCACGTATTCCTATGGCCCTTATGCTTGGTACAATTTGGAGAAAATAGCGATAACTTTGCAAAGAGGTTTTAATCTGTTACAGATTGATCTTAATAGCTTTTACCAGCGGTTTTGTCCAAGTAAAATAGCCTATATCCTTTTTTGTCCTCTTTGATGAATATATTACTTTAATAGCTAAAACATAATGAGGGAATAAACAAAAAACCTACTTTTGTTCTTGTTGTATAATTTTAGTTTTGTTTCATAACTTTGTATTAATAAATAAAAATAGTTTTTCAAATAATTTTGAAACTTGATGACAGCACTGCACGTATAAAGGATATTTATTTCTGTGCATCCAGTGTGAAGAAAGATGATGTATTGTTATCATATTTTATACAATTCACGGTAGCGATCAGGAAAATTTGTTCTTTGATGCCTTATGATACAATTTTATTATTATTTTTTACGTTGTTTATATTTATTTCATTTAAATTCGAACGTATACATATATAGTAAATAATCAATTCATTTAACTTTAAAAAAAATTAAGTATACAATGTTTACTATATTTTTTATTCGACATTTGGCGACAAGTATTCAGAATTGTTCTTTTTTATACTTTAACTCTAGCTTACAAAAGTACACGTTGAAACTCTTAACGGTTAGTCCTTGCAAATAACAGTTATCAAGTATAACCCGTTTAATAACTTTTAGTAAGCAGTAAATATGAAATTGATCGCATACTCGCTTCTCCCCTACACACGTGCGGCTGCGGCGGTATCTCAAGCACATGTAATTTATGCAAAACTAGATAACCTTTGCAAGTTTAGTAGGGATCGTTGTTAACTCACATCTTTGCTAACGATTATTATAACTATTGCCAGTAACCAGTAAGTAATTGGGTGTTTCTGTACCCCGTGTGGGTAACAGGGTTACCAACGTGAAATAATTTATAGAGAATGGGAGATTTGTGTGGGTGTTTTTTTGGAAAATTCTAAGGCGAATGATGTTGGTTGTGTTTTATTTGTGTAGATACTTACCATAACAGAGCCTCTGTGATGTCACTATACAGTGAACACAAATAAGTAGAGGTCTTCTATCTATTTGAATTTTTTTTTGTGGAATATGAGGCTAACGAGCTGACGGATCACCTGATGATAAGCGATCAGCACCGCCCATGGACACCCGCAACACCAGCGGTGTCACAGGTGCGTTGCTAGCTTTTTTGAAAGGAATACGCTCTATTATTGAAGGTTTGATCGGTTCGGAAATACCGCCGACAACGTCAAATATTACATAAGTTATGCAATCCAAGCTGTGAAATATGAAAATCGATAAAAGCACTAGAAATAAATCTAGAAAACAAAACATATACGTATACATAATTAATTAAAACCAACTAAGTAGCTGTCATTACGTTCATTCTTTAAAAGTTGCAATAAAAAGGTAACAATAAACATCGTAAAAATAAACGCTAACTTTAAACGTTGTTCGCATTGTTTTTGTTTATAAAAAAGCAAATAAAAAAATCTAGTTCACGACAGCCCTTATTATCAAGCGTGCGTGTCAGAAGTCAGCCATCTTTAGTGCCAACTTATGCGACGTAGGCACGCGAAGTGGCAACCCTGTACTTATGAC